GCCCTCCAGGACCGAGTTTGGGCACCCCTGAATTAGTGTCTCATATTCCTGACATTTTATGTCATAATTATACCGGTAACTGTCATTTTTATGTCAATTATGATTTAGTACCTCATAATTTTGACACTTATCTCATAATTATGACTTAGTATCTCATATTTTTGCTTTTTTTTAATGTGATGGAAACTTCCATATGAGGAAAAAGTACAATAATGCAGGAGCTTTTTTATTGAAGGAGATGTTTAAATGTTGTTACTAGGTGAAGGTGAACCTAATTATCCTGATTAATATCTTAAATGTAAAATGATGCTATATGATATAATATGACAATATTTTGTCATCCTCCAACTGCAGTTTGGAATTGAGGACCTAAAAGCCCTTCCCAGTCAGACTGGATGCTGGGATGGAGTGAGGAATTATCAGGTAGACTATAGCACCTTTCACACAGTAATACCAAAAAATTGCCGTAAAATTACAGTAAGTACCAACTTTACCGGTAAATACAAAAAAGCTCTGTTAACACAGGCAACGACGTTCTGTCTTTTTACCGGTAAAGCACAATTCACACATCAGTTTCAACATACTTTAGACATTTCTTTGACTTCCATAAACAGTGCAGAGTAAATGATTCATCTGCGTCAGAATGTTATGATTGGGCCAGAATAGACGTCTTACGTCAGCGCATTCTGAACTCGTACGTGCTCATACCGGTAATCTCATCTGTGCTCACACAGAGCACATTATCGGTAATTTACTGGCAAAGTTACAACTTCTCATACCACTGAATTTTCAGAACGGATTTACCGGTCCTGTTCACACACGATCTCTTACGGTAATTTACCAGTAAAGACTATGTGTGAAAGGGGCTTATGATGATTTGTTATGTTTATTAAGAAGCACATGCAGAACATTCACTTATACTCACACTTGAGACTTTTCTCCTCAGGCACGTAATTTCATGAGAGATATGAAGGTGGGCCAGCAGGCTTTCTTTTACCACAGTAACTGCAAAGAGCCAGGTATTGCAGGCCTCATGAAGGTGAGGAGTCTGTATAGAAGAAGCTTAACCCCTTAACATTTTTACCACATGCATAACATAAGGATTTTCATTACTTTTATAGATCGTAAAGGAGGCTTATGTGGACCATACACAATTTGACAAGAAGGACGTGCATTATGATCCCTCCAGCAAAGCAGACAACCCTAAATGGAGTATGGTGTGTGTTTACACAGACCACAAAAAGATTCATAAAGATAACTTTCTATTTTTGCCATCAGAACTGACCGCAGATTCACTCTGTATAGGTGGATGTTCAGTTTGAAAGGATGACCAAGCGTTTCATCCCTCTGACTGAGCTGAAGAAATATCACTTGCAGCACAAAGCTAAAGGTGGACCCTTAAAAGATATGGCCCTCTTCACCAGGGCCAGACTATCAGTTCAACCCCTTACTGCAGGTTAGTCGTATTCAATACACATGTAAAAAAATATATTCTCATTTTCATGTACTGTAGTGTAGCATTATTTAAAATGTGATTATAAATGTAAAATGTATTTATTCTTTAAAAATAACAATAATGTTAAATGTTATTTTTGTTTTAGCTAAAATAAAAATAATTTAAATTATTAGATATATTTTATAATTAATTAAAATTATTTTTAAATATCAAAATTAAGTCCTGATATTCAGCTGTATGGATTTAAAAAAAAAAATAATACTTTATTTTTTTTCTTGTCTTCAGAGGAATTTGACTTTGTCCTGAGTTTGGAGAATGAAGATCCAATATGAAAATCACCATAAAAGCCTGTTTCATCTCATCCTATTATGATTCTCTCTCACTTTAAATGTTATATAGTCAGTCTTTTCTTTATGTAATCTATACTCATGTAAACTTGAATTTTGTCATCCTCCAACTGCAGTTTGGAATTGAGGACCTAAAAACCCTCCCCAGTCAGACTGGATGCTGGGATGGAGTGAGGAATTATCAGGTAGACTATAGCACCTTTC